ATGCGATCGCGAGCTGGGCGCCGACGACGCCACTGTGCACTTGCACCCTCTGGCTTTCTACGATTCGACCCACTTCTCGCCCCCGGCGAAGGCCAACCAGGCCTTGGATTGCCCAGCTGTCGCACGTTGCTGGCGGCCAGCACGCACGCCCCCCTTCGCATGATCAAGAATGGTCAATATGTCAGCAAGGCTTTCGTTACTGGCAGGCGGCAGGCCCCCCGAGGGACGAGGACACGGCCAGAGTTTCTCGGCTTGCATTGTTTCAGCGCGCGCGCGCCCCCTGCCCGGGGGCAAGCCTCTGGACCTTTTGCGGGTGATGCCGTTTACCGCGCGGACGGTGCCGAAGAAACGCCGATCGCAGACACGCAGGTTGCCACCTCGCCGGCGGCTGGCTCGCTCAAGCAGCCTAGGCACGCCAGCACGGACAAGGCCAAAAAATCGCCGCCAGCGAGGATTCCATTGGAGATCGGAGAGGAGCTCGAATCTGCACCCAAGGACATGCATGGACGCACCCGTCAACCACGCGGTCGCAGCTACCGCCCCCGGGCTAGATGCCACGGGCGCTCGCAGGCTGCGCACGCCCAAGTTCATCTCCCGGACGAAGGAGGCACGCGCTCGCAATGGCAAAATTCAGAAGCCTAGGAGGATCCACGGCAGTCACCATGTCGCTCGCGGGCTTTGGACTACAGGGGTATTTCCATCAGATACGCATGGACATCAAGCACATGGCGCCCCCCCCCCCCTCGACCGCGCTGCAGCGCCGACGTCCAGCTGACGCGGCGATTGTTGGATGGCACAGCGGGCCGGCATCCAGGGACCTCTGGCCGCCTTGCAGGCCACCTTCCTCCAGGCTGGGCGGAATGCGATTTCGGCCGACACCTGGCGCGGAAGCGGCCCCAATCCGACAAGCTGCTGGTCGAGTTCAGCGGGGACGTCGCCCGCCGGGGACGGGCGGCAGCCAGCCGCCACCCACTCGGAGACGCCTCAAGCACGGCGCCGACTCTGATGACACAGGCAGAATAGAACGCCCGCGCGAAGAAGGGCCCCATGGACACTCGGGGCGCCACGCCCGCGGTGGCCTCGGGCGGGCAGCGGCCCCCGGACCGCGAGATCGAGGCGGGGACCGAGTCTGAAAAACAGGGCCCCGTGAAAACCGATGCTCTTAGAACGCCGCCCCACCTCGACGACGAGCCAGAGAGCACCACGTCTGTTGTTCAAAGCTTTCTCTCGCACCGAAATGCGCCTGCCGACGCGCAGGCGGACTGGGCGGCTAGGATGGGGTCGGGGTCTCTCGGTTGGCCAGCCTGTTCCGCTCATTGAGTGGACTCCTTGGCGTGGATCGCGTGACGAGGGCTACGATTGACTCGTTGGACGCTGCGCCCTGGGACGAAGCTCGCGAGCAGAAGGCCAGGTGCAAGTCAAAGCCCAAGGTCTCAAGTGCACGAGAAGCCTCGCAACATGATCTGGTGAAGTGATATGGCCGGTTGGCGCTGTTGCAGATGAAATGGTTTCAGCACTCGCACGGGTTTGTTGCGCTTTGCCGCCACGCCTTGTCATCTTGAGCTTCGAGGTCGCCAGGCGTTGGATGCTCCTGACCTCTCCCATGTCCCCCCCCCCCGCGCTTCTTATGTTCGCGGGCGACAGTTACCAGGCGCTGGTGGTGCCTGTTGAGGCTGGAGTAGTATTCTAACATCCCTTGCACACCCTTCATGACTGGGCCCTCTATGATCAGATATTTTGAAGCGGTTGTGGATTCACAGCATCAGTTGATGGGCGACAGCTTTCTCGCCCTTCCACGAAGGCCACCAAAAAGGCTCAGAGAAATCGATCCGGATCAGCGCTGGCAAATACCCCTCGCACGGAGGCCCCCCAAGGCTGTTGCGTAAGCGCGCGTGGCGGTCACCATCCAAGCTTTTGGAGGGGGGCCACGGGGTCCGATCACATGCCGTCCAGCTTGACGAGTATATTGCCCTGGCCCGACCTTGGGAGCCAAGACAACTGCGTTTCGGGGGCTGGCGGCCCGTCCTTGGGACTTTCCGCTGGTGCCTGTCCCGGTTGTGTCTTGCTTGGTTCCTGGGGTCAGGGGCAAGCAAGCTAATTCGCGTGAAGCCGAGGTCTCTGGCGCGTGCCCAAGCGACAGAGAGGTTGCAGATGGCGCTGGGCCGTCGGTGCCGCGGCTGGGCGCAAGGGTGGGGGGGAGGATTGCCTTGCGTTTTGTGCAGCGCGCCCTCGCGCGCGACCGCCCCCCCCCTCCCCTCCCCACCGCCGCCCGACGTCCACGGCCCCCCCTGCCACCATGACCGCCCTGGGACTGGAGGGGGCTGCCCGAACCTCCTCCCTCTTTTCGCCACATTATGACTATTTTCTCCCACCCTTTGCGTTTTGGTTGTGGTCCGCATGTTCCGTATACCCATATATCCTTCTCTCTCTCTCTTTCTCTCCTTTCCTTCTCCTTGTTGTTTCTCTCTCTCTCTCTCTCTATCTCTCTCTCTCTCTCTCTCTTGTTATCTCTCTCTCTCTCTCTCGTTCTCTCCCTCTCCGCCTCCTCTGTCTCTCTCTCTCTCTCTCTCTCTCTCTCTCTCTCTCTATGTCTATATATATATATAGTTGTTCCCTCTCTCCTCCTGCAGAGAGGAAGCCAGGGAGGCGCGTGGGATGATGGGCGGGCGTTTGCTCTTGAGCCCCCTTCACGGTGGACGCCAGGCATCGGTGAAGCGGTGGCGTTGCAGGCACCGGTTTAGAGGGAGCGTGGCACGGGGAGGGGGGGGAGGGGGAAAGGGAGCGGGAGGAGGAAAGGGACAGGGAGGAGGAATGGGAGGGAGGAGGAGGAGGAGGAGGAGGAGGAGGAGGAGGAGGAGGAGGAGGAATAGACCAAAGAGCCACCAGACTCCAGAGCCCAGGAGGAGGAAGGGAGGAGGCAGAGGGGGATGAGGGGGAGAGGGAAGAGGAGTAGGAGGAGGAGGACGACGAGGAGGAGGACGGGGACAGGGATGCGGACGGGGACGGGAACGGGGAGGGAAGAGGAGGGGAAGGGGAGGGGAAGATCAGTCCTCATCCTCCTCCTCCTGCTCCTCCTCCTCCTCCCTCTCCTCCCTCTCCTTCCTCTCCTCCTCCTCCTCCTCCTCCTCCTCCTCCTTCTCCTTCTCCTCCTCCTTCTCCTCATCCTCCTCCTCCTCCTCATCATCATCCTCCTCCTCCTCCTCCTCCTCCTCCGCCTGCTGTTCCTCCTTCTCCTTTTCCTCCTCCTCGTCGTCCTCCTCGTCCTCCTCATCATCATCATCGTCGTCATTATCACAATCACCATCACCATCACCACCACCATCATCATCATCAGCAGCAGCAGCAGCATCATAATACTTGTCATCATCCTAATCATCGTCATCAGCATCATCAGCATCATCATCATCATCTTCTTTATCATTGTCATCCTCCTGCTCCTCCTCCCCTTCCTGTTCCTCCTCCTCCTCCTCTGCTTCCTCCTCCTCCTCCTTCCTGGCCTTCGAGACGTCGCTGCAAAAATCACGACGCCCGTGTTTTTCTCCATGTCGATCTCTGGGGGTAAAGCCTCTGGTGGGTCGCTGGGCCGCTTTGGGCTGGTCTTCGAAAATTGTTCCGGTGTTCACGTGGCGGTCTTTCGCGGTCGTGCAGCTGTCCCGACAAGGCCGCCTCGAAGCATAAAGGAAGCACAAAGATCTTTGCTACGAGGGGGTCATCCCTGGATAATTTCCAAAAGCGTAACACACAAGCAACAAGCATGACGTAATGTTCCATTATAGCGTGCATGCGCGATGGCGAGCACAGACAGACAAGTAGAGGGGGCGACAGAGAGCGAGATAGAGAAAACGAACAAACAAATGAGAGAGTGAGAGAGAGGAAGAGAGAAAAACAAGTAACATGACAAAATACAAATGAGCCTGGCGCGACCCCATTTACGGGAAAGCTTTTTATCACATGGGCGCAGTGCTTGGCATTGCTTGGGGAACCTGGGGAACTCGAGGAACCCGAGGAACCCGGGGAACCCAGGGAACCCGAGGAACCCGAGGAATTTGGGGAACCCGGGGAGCCCGGGGAACCAAAGAAACCCGAGGAACTTGGGAAACTTGGGGAACCCGAGGAACCCGGGGAACCCGAGGAACCCAGGGAACCAAAGGAACCCAAGGAACCCAGGAAACCCGGGGAACCCGAGGAATCCGAGGAACCCGGGGAACTTGGGGACCCCAGGAAACCGAGGAAAACATGGAACCCGTGGAACCTGGGGAACCCGTGGAACCCAGGGAACCCGAGGAACCCGGGGAACACGAGGAATTTGGGGAACCCGAGGAAACTGGGAAATTTCCGAGGAACGGGCAAAGTAGCCATCGGAGGCACCAACGTTTAACCCAGTAAGAACCTCCTTAGGCAAGCAGAGTTGGGGAAAGATTAGGAGAAGGATAACGAAAGTGATACAACGAGAATTTGAAAGCGGCATAAAGTGACTGGGGGGAAATACAGATACATGGAAGTATCAGGAGAAAGAGAAGAGAGAGAGAGAGAGATGTTTAGAGAAATGTTGTGTGAAAAAGAGAGAGTCAGAGATAGAGAGGGAGAGAGAGAGAGAGAGAAAGAGAGGGAGAGATAATGGAAGAAGAAGACGAAGAGGAAGAAGAAGAAGAAGAAGAACAAGAAGAAGATGAGAAGGAGGCAAGGCATCTAAGCGACACCCTCAAGCTTTCGCGGGGAGAAGGAGGAGGGGTAGAAAGAAGTGGAAGAAGAGAAGAGGAGGAGGAAGAGGAGGAGGAGGGGGAGTTGGGAGAGCAGGAGGGGGAGAAGGACGGGAAAAGGGACAAGGAGGAGGTGGAGAACGGGGAGAAGGGGAGGGGAGTCGGGAGAGAAAGAAGGTGGCAGTGGTAGAGATGGAGATGGAGGAAGACGGAGGCAGGAGGGTCCTGAAGAGGGTTTGCCCTGAATGCCGAAACAGGTGAGCCAGCGAGCCTACCCGCTTCCAGGCTTCGCCAGCCAAGGCATGGGGGTTGGGGGCGAGAGGAAGTTGGAACGCAAAGGCAGCCCAGCGGGCGGGGCAGGGCAGTTGTCCGTGAACATGTTTGAGTTGAAGTTGGGGTGGTCATTGAGCTTGCAGCCAGGTCCTCCCTCCTCCTCCCCCCTCCTGATGCTTCTCCTGGGCTGTGCCGCTCATTAGAGGCGCATCCCCTGCTGCCGAGGTCGTGCACCTTGCTTCCGAGGAGAGTCGAACCGAACCGCACCTGATGCTTCTTCTCCTTTTCTCCAATCCTGACCTGGACCAACCAGGTGGAAAGTAGCACGCACATATCCACTGGCTTGCATCTTGGCAGAAACCCACCAGCGTGCAGGCGTCATGCGTGCAAAGTGCAGGAGCGGTTGTGTAAGGTAAGTCGGCGATTGGTTTGGAGAAAGCGACCCTTGGAAAGAATAGTGGCCGGCATCCAGAGAGCGATCTGGCGCGGGGTTCTGGGGACGGGTGTGTCTTCTTGGTAGCAGCGCCAGGTTGACCCATACTCGTGCCAGGTCATCCGTAGCATCCGTCGCCCATAGCAGCGTGTGCTGGCAGCGCAGATTTCGTTGCACGTCAGACTTTCAATATCTGCAGCGAGATACCTGCTGACCTGACTTACGCGGGAGTGTTTATGACGGCGTTGCTTCGCTTTATTTTCGTACGGGGTTGCGGCACTTGATTCGACACGCATCTGTGGACCCCCAGGGAGGACAAGTGCTGTTAAGGCAGCGGTTTGACCAGGTAAGAGACTCGTCTACATCACACGGCTTGACCAGGTAATAGATTCATCTTCATCACAGAAGAGTCATCCGCCTCCTCCTGGTGACCACCCTCCTACGCCCCGCATCCTCCCTGGGAGGTAGGTTTGGGCCGCGGTGTTTTTCTCGCCGCTGGGCAGGGCGGCATACAGACATTGTCAAAACTGTTTTCGAGCATAGTGTTCCAGATTTGTGTCGCCTGTTGCTTAGGCCCCACACGGGGCTGCGGCTCTCGGCTTTCCCCCCTGCCGAGTCGAGCCGACCCCATCCTCCGGTGATGATGATGATGATGATGATGATGCTGATGATGCTGATGATGACGATGACGAGGCGGAGGAGGAGGATGAGGATGGCGGCGACGACGACGACAGTGGCGATGGCGGTGGCGGCGGCGGCGGCGGTGGCGATGACGACGACGATGACGACAATGACGATGATGATGATGATGATGAAGATGATGATAGGAGGATCTGTTCAAAAGCTATCAAACACCATGGGTTCGTCAACAGAAACTGCCAGAATTTGGCGCGCGCACACTTCCTGACATCCTCAGAGAACGGCTTTGGTTTTAACCGTTCTCTCACACGGCAGTGTGCAGGCCATTCGCGCGCGCATGTTGAAAACGTGAACCTCTTCAGAATCCGTTGTGCCACGAAAACACAATTCGGCGGCGCGCGCATGTCAAAACCAGTCAGGCCAAATTGGCTACTTTGCAATGGCAAAGCACAGCTGTTCAACAACCATCAGAATCGAGAGGTTCTTCCACAAAAAGGTGTCAGGATCTTAGTACGCGCTGACATCATACGAATACATAGGTGGTTCCCAAGTCTGTCATATGAGGGCATGCGGACCGCTAGCGCGCGCATGACAAAAATACTAATCATCGCACGCGTGTGTCCGCGCGCGCACGTGGGAATTCTTACAACATCCGCGGTGCCCCAGCAGTTGCAACACAGATGTATTCAAACACATACGAACGCACACAATGGTTTTCAATAACAAGGTGCCGGGGGATGTGTTTGATAAGTGCGGGTGCGCGCTTCTTCACCATCTTCTCCCGCGTACTTATTATCATCCTCGTCGGCGTCATCATTGTCATCATCTTCATCATCAGTGTCATCATCGTCGTCATCATCAGCATCCTCATCTTCATCACCATTATCACTACCATAATCATCATCACCAGCACCATCGCCATCATCATGATCATCATCACCGCCGCCGTCGCCATTGCCATCGTCGATGTCGTTGCCCTCGTCAAATTTCTGAGCGCGCAGTTCCTCATCTCCCTCACAAGCACCATCACCATCCTCATCGTCAGCGTCTTCGTTGCCACCGCCATGATCATCACCAGCATCATCGTTGTCGCCGACATCGTCCCCGCCGTCGTCATCAACATCATCGTCGTTGTCGCAGCCGCTGTCGCCACAATCGCCATCGCCACTTCGCGCCCTGCAGAACGGATTCGTCTGCGCGGCTGAGTTCCACGCGCCCGTACGCTCGCTGAGAACATGGCCGAATGCGTGTTGCCCACATGTTGCAGGAGGGTAGGCGTGACGTTTGCACGATCACGGGGAGTGGTCACGAGCGGATGTCGCGCGGTGGGTGATGTGCACCACGTGGTTTGCACGAGCGTGGGAGGCGGTTACGGGCGGATGTTGCGCGGTGGGCGGCCCGCACCACATGAATTCCTTGCTCGAAAGAAGGATCGACTCCGTCACCCACCCGAGCCCAGACTTGTCCCCCCCTTGTATTGCAATGTACATGTGGTCTGGCCTCATCGTTCGGTGCCAATACGGAGGCATAAGATCCCAGCCCAGCCGGTCGCGACCCCCACCCGCTACCCCCGTCAAATGGAGCCGTGCTCGCAGTATCGCTGACCTCAAAAGATCATGTTTCAAAAACCCTTTTGCACTTGCAACAGACAACAAGGTCCACACACGCGCGCGCATGCCGAAACCATACCAATCACATTAGTTGCGCAAGCATCCCAAACAATAAAGATCGAAACTCCCTAGGTCTATCATCACAAAGTCATTGGGAAAAGCAACAGAATTCAGCAACCTCGTCCAGAACCCACATTCTCGTTTCACCACGCGGTGCATCCGCATTGATCCTGCATGCGCCTAGTGCACGAATCTGCATTAAATAATACCATGTGAGCCACATGAGCGCTCCCCCACACGCGCGTGTTGAAATCTGTCCAAAACCAGTGGCTTCCGAAGCAGTTCAAGATAGAGGTGCAAAAGCATACGAAGGAAAAACAACAGCAGTTCAACAACAAGTCTGTCAGGTGTCTTGCATGTTTGCGCGCGCGCACACTTCCTCGCCATCACCCGCATCAGCGCCACCGCATCAAAGCAATTATCGCCATCGTCAATCGCCGCCATGCCGCCATCATCTGCACGATCACCTTCATCACCGACCCCTGGACATCATCATCGCCGTCGTCGTCACCAGCATTGGCGCCGGCATTGCCTTTGTCATCACCATCGTCATCATTGCCACCACCATCGCTAGTATCATCATCGTCGCTGCCGTTGTCGACGTCATGATGGTATCGCGCCCGCCCACGTCACCGACCTGCACTGACTATCCTTCGCGCCAGCGCGGCTGTTGAGACGCGCTGGAAAGTTCCCATCGATACGGGCCGTCGCGGCCGCATCATCAGGTGTGCCAAACCAGTTGGCCGCTCTGCGCAACAGGTTTGTCGCGCCAGCGCGACCGCAGAGACGCGCGAGCAAGTGCCAACCCGTGACGGTTGCCAAATAAGTTGCGTGTGGGGGTAATTTGATGTTTGCGCGAGCAGTAGACTTGCCGATTTCGAGGTCTTTCTACTTAGTTCCTTGTTGAAAAGAACGATACACTCCATCCCCCGCCCCCCAGGGCCATCGTGAACCAGTGCGGCGTCGTTGTCTTCCCAAGTGACTTTGCATGGTCGGCCGTCCTAAATTTCAAAACATGGCATCCCAGCCAACGGGGCATCGACCCAGCCTCCTCCCCGTCAAATAAGACCAAGGGTGCGGATATGTTGATTTCAAAAAGCTAGCCACCGTCGGCCCCAAAGAGTTACTGTTAGAAACCAATGTTGTACCATCTTCGTGGTGCAATCTACGTGGTGCAACCCACTCTGCTGAACTTGAAGTCGTCATTTCCACTGCTCGCGCAAACATCCCACCCACCCACCCACCCGCAACTTGGTTTGCAAAACCTCTTAAGACCGACTACGACGACACCGACGACAACGACGACGACACCGACGACGTCTCCGACGACTTCGACGACGACACCGACGACGACGACGACGAAGACGACGACGACGACGACGCCAACGAAGACGACGACGAGGGAGGAGGAAGGACGACGACGGCGACAACGGCGACGACGAAGACGACGACAACGACGAGGGAGGAGGGAGGACGGCGACGACGCGAACGACGAAGAAGGAGGAAGGACGGCGACGCCGACGACGACAACGACGAGGGAGGAGGGAAGACGACGACGACACCGACGACGACGATGACGGCGACGAAATAGGAGGGACGACGACGAGACGCCGACGACGGACGACGACGACGACGACGAGGGAGGAGGAGGAAGGACGACCACGGCGACAACGGCGACGGAAACGACCACGACGCCAAAGAGGACGACGACGACGAACACGAGGAAAGACAGAGACGACGTAGGCGACGACGACGACGACGCGGGAGGAGGGAGGACGGCGACGACGACGACGACGCAAGAGCGCGCGCGCGCGCACACTTTTGTTGAAAATGCGTGTTGCGAAACTTTGGGTTTTTGTTGGTTGTTTTGGACACACGATTTTGAAATCCTTCCGAAACCGATGGGTTTTGAAGGTTTTCGGCATACGCGCGCGACGACGCGCGCGTCTGCACTTCGTCTTTTTTTTTTGCAGAGGATTCTCGCGACGGCACACGCGCAAGGGCGTTCGACAGACTTCGACATGCGCGCGCGAAATCCGTTTAATAGCATTTTGTGAAAATCTTGAAAAGCCCATGGTTTCCTTAAGATTTCGCAAGAGCTCGCGCGTAAGCTTTTTTAGCAAATCAGTATTGCGAAACCTTGTGCTTTTGCATGTTTTTGGAAACTCGATTGCGAAATCCTGCCGGCACCGAAGATTTGTTTTGAAGGATTTCGGCATGCGCGCGCGACAACGCGCGCGTGCGCACTTCGTCCCATTTTTTGCAAGGGATTCGTGAACAAGTGC